GAGGAGGTGCTGACGGGGCGGCGAAGGGTGTGTCGAGCTGCCCGGAGGCCCCAAGATGGGACAGGAGGCTTCTGAAGAGGCGCCAGTGCCTCCGGGTGATGTCTGCCCCAGCCGAGCCTGGCCCTGGGGTCGGATGGCAGGGTTAAATGAGCCTCGGCTTGTCATTATCTCCACCTTCAGCCAGAGCAGCCAGGTCAGCGTGGGCTTCTGGGGCCACTGACCCCTGACCCTCCCATGCGGGTCCAGCAAGAAGTGTCCCTCTCAGCCTCAGACGGGCGCCAAGGGGAAGCTCCAGCTGGAGCTGCAGGGACCTGCCCCAGACCCGCTGCCTCTGCCTCTCGCTCTGGGGCCCGGGCCCATCCCCTGCGCCTGCTCCTCGTCCTCGTCCTCGTCCGCTCCAGCTGTACTTTATCTGAAGGAAACTGCGTGCCGCACGCGCCCTGCACTCATAAAGCGGAAGATGTCCCTGCGACCCCGGGGTCACTGTCCGCGGTGCTGAGGCCGCAGGGACAGCCGAAGCCCGGCCTTCGCAGCCACTCGCTGTCCCAGCGCCGCGCCCGATGAGATGGGGCAGGAAAAAGGGTTTCAAGGAGGACGTTCCCACGCTCAGCCCGTCTCTCCTGCGTTCTCCCTGGTGCTTTCGGAACGAGAACTGACATTTCAATGGCCATGCGTGCTGTTATTTCCAGGACACGTTCAATCTCTTTTAAATCTCCGGGAGATTCCGAGAGGGCGCTGGAATTCACGCACTCCTCCCCCGCGGGCAGGGCTCGGCCTGCTGGGTGTCTCCGCCTTTAAGCTGGGAGATCCCGGGGTCCGCAGCTCATTGCTGATCGCTGCGTGGAACAGGAGGCACCGCTGGAGAGTGTGACGCTGCGAGGCGAACGTGCTCCGGGGGTAGAACTGTCCAGAATCTCGGTCTGTGAGACGCAGTGATCGCAGTTCCCACGCCTGACCATGTGGTGTCACACTTTCTTAACCAAGTCTCCTCCCCTCCTGCCTCTCCCCCTTCGCAGATGGACGCCTTCTGGAGGCAGATGGAGAGCATCCCGCAAGGCCTCCTGGACCAGTTCAAGTGTCCCAGCGCCAGAGCGCGCCAGCTGGGGGCGGCCCTGACGGCCAGAATGATCGCTGCGGAGGGGCTGCTGCGGGACTCCCAGGACCTGCAGGCGCTG